CCTGTCCCGCGCCCCTGTCAGTCGCCCCACCCCAGAGGATGAGATGCTGTGTTCTACATCTGCTGCATCCCTCAAGTCAGTAGTCTCATTGAAGGCCGTCTTCACATCAGAAGAGTCTATAGCACCGGATGCAGACAAGACCCTTCAAGATCCCCGCACCGCAGCCCGGGCGGACGTTTCCTACATCCGGCTCGTCGACTGTGTGTCCCAGGGATTTTCATCTAACCGATACGACCTTCATGAATCGCTACTCCCGTACTGGAAGATACGCGAGGACCTCTATTGTGACGGAAACCTCGTCATGTATGGTCCACGAGTAGTCATTCCTGCTGCCCTACGCTGCCGTACTTTGACCCGCCTTCACGACAGCCATCGAGGCGTGGAGACCACCAAGCGGGGGGCGAAGCAGACTGTATTTTGGCCCGGAATCGACGCGGACATTGCAAGTACCGTCCGTGCCTTTGAGCCGTGCCAGATTCTGAAACCCAGCCAGCAACAGGAACCTTTAATGTGCGACGATAACCCTTCAAGACCCTTCGAATTTGTGTCGGCCGACTTCTTTGCAGTGGCAGGGAAGTCCCTCCTCGTCATTGCCGATCGATTGTCTGGATGGCCTGTTGTCGTCCCCTGTGGTAGTGATACAACGGCTACTGCTACCATCCGGAATTTCAGACATTACTTCAGTGAAGTTGGTGTTCCCCTCCGTCTCAGGACTGATGGAGGACCCCAGTTCACCAGCCACGAGTTAGTTCCGGGACTTCATGGACCGTTGGGGAGTCCGTCATGTCGTGACCTCGCCCCACTACCCCCAGGAGAATGGACACGCTGAAGCCGAAGTCAAGACTGTTAAACATCTGATCCTTATGGTGTCACCCTCAGGAAATATCGACTGCGAGGATTTCGATCGAGGTTTCTTAGAGTTACGCAACACCCCGAACTTCACCAGACGCTCCCCAGCCTAGGTTCTATATGAACATCATCTCAGGTCTTGTGTTCCTGCTCACCCGAAGTCTTTTTCTCAAGAGTGGCAGGCCAAGACTGAAGAATGTGACCGCCGTGCAGCAGAACGAGCTGCAGATGCCGCTGCTCGGTACGACTGTCATGCCCGCCCCCTTCCCAGGTTGAGTATCGGCCAGCAGGTCAGGATTCAAGATCCGGTATCTCACCGCTGGGACAAGGTTGGGGTTGTCATGGGTATTGCCCGGTCCAGGGACTACCAAGTGCGTCTTCCTAGTGGTAGAGTATGGTGGAGGAACCGTCGTTTCCTTCGACCTGTGGAGCTGCCTAGTGTTGACCCTTCCCCAGTAGAGTCCCCTAATGCTGATGTCTTTACAGTAAATCCATCCCCACCTTGTGTTTCTGCCCCGGTACTCCGCAGGTCCGAGCGACTCAGAAACAAAAGGTCCGCTCAAGATGAAACTATGAGCGTATAGGGGGGAGGGAGGTGTATAATATGGACACGAAGTAGTACCTTAAGCTGTGTATTCTTATATTACTCTATTAATTATGTATAGTAAAGTATTACAGAACATGTATTAATCCTATGTAATATTTCCATTTATTATGCACCATGTTATGTATGTGAATTATCATATTTACATATAATGTATTCAGCTTGTGAATGCTGGCATCTGTACATGCCAGCGCGGAGTGATACAGAGAGTTGAGATCGCTAGTCCTTATGGTGTGACTGGGATGAATGAGACACACTAAAATTTAGACACTTATATTCCCTTCAACACTACAGACACACTCAAATAATGGTACACGAATATGCACACCTCCTAACCTGAACTTAAAACACTACTCTGGGGAATAAAAGTTATACATGATATTGAAATTATTAGAAACTCAGACAGTGCCTCACTAAACAACAATAAATTTAAAGTTTTAAGGAATGTTGCTTGCACACATGAAACAGGCCTTAAGGGCTTTCAACAAAATAATATCAACCACTGAGAAAATGGTATAAAAAAAATAGAAATTAATAACTCTACAATGAATAGGCCTTAAGGGAGGGCACTCAACAAAATTATATCACCCCCAACAGATGCACACTTCCTAACCTAACTTAAACACTACTCTGGGGAACAAAGGTTACACCTGAGATCGGAATTATAAAGACAAATTAAATGCATTAAAGGAATTAAATCACAATATCACTCTGGTTCACTTAGTGACACAAACATTCAAAAAACAATTCTATCAAAATCATTCAAGAACTATTACTACACACGTCAAAATAATATAAGTAACTGAAAAAATGGTACTAACTACACACAAAAATATTGTCACTATTATTGAGATGTTACTGGGTCCACCAATACCCGTGAACCATGCTCCACCCAACTCAACATACACCCGTAATAAGGGAGATAAAATGTTTCTCTACGTATCCCCTAGACTCCTGGTCTCAGTGTGTGACCATTAATTTACTCAGATAGCCTTAGTGTACTCTCAGTGCGTCCAGGGGCGGAAGAGAGAACGCCTGCAGGTGACCATGGCCAGTAGGTAATACTTCTAGCTGACCGAGGGCACGTGGTGTTGTGCACCCACGTGGTAAGAACTGATCACCCAATGCTGATGCTGGTCCCGTGTCGTTTTAGTTGTCGGGAGCACTCATTCACTCAAGAGATCCTTTGCTACCCTGTTAACCAGTGACAAGCCTACACTGATCGTTCCAACGGCGACAATCACCAATCATCAATCATCAACGGCAGTCTCAAACGGCAGTCAGTCTCTCGCAGTCAAGTGGGTTCTGACGGAAACCCTGAAATTAACTCACTGTTAGCTCTTAATAACTTTATCACTGCCCTATCTAACCCCTGTCTGAGATCGAATGAGACTTACTTGTTATACTGCAATAGCGCAACACAGGTGACTAGACCACGTGACTATTTCTGTGGACGGACGCGCAGGGACGTCCTGTTGGGCCGATCGCTTTTTTCGCTTTTTTCGCGTGACTGAGGACCAGCCAGCCTCGCGTCTCCCCAAGGCGTTAGCTTAGGCCTACGTGACATATTTTCCGCCTAACTAATAACTTTCTTGGGACACCCGTAACATTATTCAGACTGATAAACGATCTATAATGATTTCAAATTTACTAATAGTCCCTTAACTTCATGAATCGCATCATTATTAATTCGGCAAACTACATTCAATATCGTATAGGCCCAGTTCCAAAAGCTCTCACTACGTGCAGAAGCGCTCTCTTCCCTCAGTCGACCTTGAAAACTCAGTATCGCCGATGGCTGGCGTTTGAAATCACACTGAAGTTTCTGATATATATATATATATATATATATATATATATATATATATATATATATATATATATATATATATATATATATATATATATATATATATATATATATATATATATATATATATATATATATACTGTATACATACATCTTGAAAAAATCACACGGGAAAATGGAAACAACGGAGCACCTTAGATTTCGTCTTTATTCAAGACATCTTCAGAGGCAACATAAATACATACATACATACATACATATATACACAGTATATCACAGCCACAACTTTAGCATACAGCAATATATTAAAATTCGGTATGCGGTTACGATAATAAATCTATTATAAAATACTCGTACATCTACTGTACGATACAATACACCATCAATACAATGCATTAATAATACATCAATATAATACAATGCACCAATGATAAAATACAGTATCACCCTTCTCTTTGCAACCTCCACTATAGTAGAAAGTATATCCACTTCGTCCACACCCACTCACTCACTCACATGGCATGATAGATTCAGACGTAATGGAGTTTGTGGCGCAACGATGGATAGGTCTCAGGGAGTTAGAGTTACCATTCATCAGCGCCAGATGTCTCACCACCACTACCACCACATGAAACTCTCCTTTCATGCTGTTCACAAAATACAAGAGACGCCTTCAATCTATTTTGCCTTTATATTCGCGTGTCAGAACAAATCAGTATATAGTATACCTCACGCGTTTACAATGTACCAAGAGCCTTTTTTTTCCCCAATACGAAATATTAAAGAGAGATATTTTTCTCCTTCACGCAACACTGAAGGACTGACCATACTGACAGCTGGGATTCGAGGACCAATAGTGAAGGAGCAATCCGAAATAACTGCCACCACCAGTGGTCCCTGCCACCACCAATGCTCCCTGCCACCACCAGTGTTCCCTACCACCACCAGTGTTGCCTGCCACCACCAGTGATCCCTGCCACCACCAGTGATCCGTGCCACCACCAGTATTGCCTGCCACCACCAGTGTTGCCTGCCACCACCAGTGCTCCCTGCCACTACCAGTGCGACCTGCCACCACCAGTGCTCCCTGCAATCACCAGTGCTCCCTGCTGTGCACCCTGCCGCCACCATTACTCCCAGAAACCACCAGTGCTCCATGCCACCACCAGTGCTCCCTGCCACCACCAGTGCTCCCTGCCACCACCAGTGCGTCCTGCTACCACTAGTATTCCCTGCTATCACCAATGCTCCCTGCCACCACCAGTTCTCCCTGTTATCACCAGTGCTGCCTACCACCACTAGTGCTGCCTGCCACCGCCAGTGCACGCTACTAATACCAATGCTCCCTTTTCACCACCAGTGCTGTTTGCCACCACCAGTGCTGCCTGCCACCACCAATGCTCCTTGCCACCACCAGTGCTCCCTGCAACCACCAGTGCTCCATGCCACCACCAGTGCTCCCTGCCACCACTAGTGCTCCCTGCAATCACCAGTGCGCCCTGCCACCACCATTGTTTCCAGCAACCACCAGTGCTCCATGCTACCACCAGTGCTCCCTGTCATCACCAGTGCGTCCTGCCACCACCAATGCTTTCAGCAACCACCAGTGCTCCCTGCCATTACCAGTGCTCCCAGCAACCACCAATGCTCCATGCACCACTAGTGCTTCCTGCCGCTACTAGTGTTCCCTCAATCACCAGTGCTCCCTGCCATTACCAATGCTCCCAGCAACTATCAATGCTCCATGCACCACCAGTGCTCCATCCACCACTAGTGTTCCCTGCCACCACTAGTGCGCCCTGCAATCACCAGTGCGCCCTGCCACAACCAATGCTCCCAGCAACCACCAGTACTCCTCGTTACCACCAGTGCTCCCTGTCATCACCAGTGCGTCCTGCCACCACCAATGCTCTCAGCAACCACCAGTGCTCCCTGCCATTACAAGTGCTCCCAGCAACCATCAGTGCTCCCTGTCATCACCAGTGCGTCCTGCCACCTCCAATGCTACCAGCAACCACCAGTGCTCCATGCTACCACCAGTGCTCCCTGTCATCACCAGTGCGTCCTGCCACCACCAATGCTCTCACAACCACCAGTGCTCCCTGCCATTGCAAGTGCTCCCAGCAACCACCAGTGCTCTCTGTCATCACCAGTGCGTCCTGCCACCACCAATTCTCCCAGCAACCACCAGTGCTCCATGCTACCACCAGTGCTCCCTGTCATCACCAGTGCGTCCTGCCACCACCAATGCTCTCAGCAACCACTAGTGCTCCCTGCCATTACCAGTGCTCCCAGCAACTACCAATGCTCCATGCACCACCAATGCTCCATCCACCACTAGTGTTCGTTGCTACCACTAGTGTTCCCTGCCATTACCAGTGCTCCCAGGAACCACCAATGCTCCATGCACCACTAGTGCTTCCTGCCACTACTAGTGTTCCCTCAATCACCAGTGCTCCCTGCCATTACCAGTGCTCCCAGCAACCACCAATGCTCCATGCACCACCAGTGTTCCATGCACCACTTGTGCTCTCTGCTACCACCACTGCTCCCTGCAATCACCAGAGCTCCCTGCCATCCCCAGTGCTCCCCAACAACCAATGCTCCATGCCACCACCAGTGCTCCATGAACCACTAGTGCTCCATGCCACCAGCAGTGCTCCCTGCCATCACTAGTGCTCCCTGCGATCACCAGTGCTCCCTGCCATTCCCAGTGCTCCCAGCAACACCATGCTCCATGCACCACTAGTGCTCCATGAACCACTAGTGCTCTATGCCACCACCAGTGCTCCATGAACACACTAGTGCTCCATGCCACCAGCAGTGCTCCCTGCCATCACTAGTGTCCCTGCGATCACCAGTGCTCCCCTGCCATTCCCAGTGCTCCCAGCAACAACCAATGCCTCCCATGTGCACCACTAGTGCTCCATGAACCACTAGTGCTCTATGCCCATTGGCTCCATGAACCACTAGTGCTCCATGCCACGACTAGTGCTCCTGCCAATACCAGTGCCCCAAGCAACAACCAATGCTCCATGCTACTACCAGTGTTCCATGCACCACTAGTGCTCCCTGCCAATACCAGTGCCCCAAGCAACCACCAATGCTCCATGCTACTACCAGCGTTCCATGCACCACTAGTGCTCCATGAACCACTAGTGCTCTATACCACCACCAATGCTCCATGAACCACTAGTGCTCCATGCCACCATTAGTGCTCCCTGCCAATACCAGTGCCCCAAGCAACAACCAATCCTCCATGCTACTACCAGCGTTCCATGCACCACTAGTGCTCCATGCTATCACCAGTGCTCCCTGCCACCAACAGTGCTCCCTTCCATCCCCAATGCTCCCTACCACCAACAGTACTCCCTGCTACCACCAATGCTCCCTGCCACCACCAGTGTTCCCTGCCATCACCAGTGCACCCTGCCACCACTAGTGCTCCCTGCCATTGCCAGTGCTACCTGCCAACACTAGTGCTCCCTGCCATCACCAGTGCGCCCTGTCACCACCAATGCTCCCAGCAACCTTAGTGCTCCATGCACCACTAGTGCTCCCTGCTACCACCAATGCTCCCTGCCATAGCCAGTGCGCCCTAGCACCACCTATGCTCCCTGCCACTACTAGTGCACCCTGCCATTACCAGTGCTACCTGCCACCACTAGTGCTCCCTGCCATCACCAGTGCGCCTGCAGTGCTCCATGCACCACCAGTGCTCCCTGCCACCACCAGTGCTCCCTGCCACCACCAGTGCTCCCTGCTACACCAGTGCTCCCTACTACCACCAGTGCGCCCTACCATCACCAATGCTCCCTACCACCACCAATGCTCCCAGCAATTACCAGTGCTCCTTGCTAACTCCAGTGCGCCTTACCACCACCAGTGTTGCCTGCCACCAATCAGTGCTCCTTGCCACCACCAGTGCTCCCTGCTAACACTAGTGCTCCCTGCTAACACTAGTGCTCCCTGCTAACACCAGTGCTCCCTGCCACCACCAGTGCTCCCTGTTACCTCCAATGCTCCCTGCTAACACTAGTGCCCCCTGCTAACACCAGTGCTCCCTGCCACCTATAAGTGCTCCCTGCAACCACCATGTAATGGGGCCCTGTCTCATCAACAGAACATATTATATAAATGCGTCAATACATCTGATATTATATTCAGATTCACCACCCTGTAACTTTCCACTGTCTATGAGTAAGATATGAGTTGTACACGTGAGCGGGCAACTCTCCCAGGAGGGAGTGACCCATAGTCAGCATATCTGTAAGCCCACGCAGCGAGGCCCTCACTCCTTAGTCGCTCACAGAAAGTAATATCGTAAGAACGTGACCTAACGTTTATAAAACATAAATGCCGTCCCTTTCTCATTCACTCCTAAACAGTGGAACTTACGGTCGATCTACACTCAGGAAATATATATATATACAACCCTTTTATAATAAAACAAGGAACTCCCGTTTGGGTTTCGTTACTTAAACCCAAATAATAAATATATGTGAACGGCCTGGTTAATTGCACAAGCAGCCTATTCAACCAGAGTTGCCTGCCACCACCAGTGTTCCCTGCCATCACCAGTGCGCCCTGCCATCACTAGTGCTCCCTGCCATTGCCAGTGCTACCTGCCACCACTAGTGCTCCCTTCCATCACCAGTGCACCCTGCCACCACCAATGCTCCCAGCAACCACCAGTGCTCCATGCCCCACTAGTGCTCCCTGCCACCACCAGTGCTCCCTTCCACCACGAGTGCTCCCTGCTACACCAGTGCTCCCTACTACCACCAGTGCGCCCTACCATCACCAATGCTCCGTTGCCACCACCAATACTCCCAGCAGCCACCAGTGCTCCTGCTAACACCAGTGCGCCTTACCACCACCAGTGTTGCCTGCCACCAATCAGTGCTCCCTGCCGCCACCAGTGCTCCCTGCCACCACCAGTGCTACCTGCCAGCACTAGTGCTCCTTGCCATCACCAGTGCGCCTGCCACCTCCAATGCTCCCAGCAACCACCAGTGCTCCATGCACCACTAGTGCTGCTACCACCAGTGCTCCTTGCCATCACCAGTACGCCCTGCCACCACCAATGCTGCCTACCACCACTAGTCCTCCCTGCCATTACCAGTGCTACCTGCCACCACTAGTGCTCCCTGTCATCACCAGTACGCCTGCCACCACCATTGCTCTCAGCAACCACCAGTGCTCCATGCACCTCCAGTGCTCCCTGCTACCGCTAGTGCTCCCTGCCACCGCCAGTGCTCCCTGCCACCACTAGTGCTCCCTGCCAACCACTAGTGCTCCCTGCTACCACCAGTGCTCCCTACTACCACCAGTGCGCCCTACCACCACCAATGCTCCTTCCCACCACCAATGCTCCCACCAACCACCAGTGCTCCCTGCTAACACTAGTACGCCCTGCCACCACCAGTGTCGCCTGCCACCAACCAGTGCTCCCTGCCACCACCAGTGCTCCCTGCTTACACCAGTGTTCCCTGCCACCACCAATGCTCCTTGCCACCACCAGTGCTCCTTGCCACCACCAGTGCTCCCTGCCACCACCAGTGCTCCCTGCCACCACCAGTGCTCCCTGTTACCTCCTATGCTCCTTGCTAACACCAGTGCCCCCTGCTAACACCATTGCTCCCAGCAACCACCAGTGCTCCCTGCTAACACTAGTACGCCCTGCCACCACCAGTGTCGCCTGCCACCAACCAGTGATCCCTGCCACCACCAGTGCTCCCTGCTTACACCAGTATTCCCTGGTAACACTAGTGCTCCCTGACATCACCAGTGCTCCCTGCCACCACCAGTGCTCCCTGTTACCTCCAATGCTCCCTGCCACCACCAGTGCTACCTGCTATCGCCATTGCTGCCTGCCACCCTCAGTGCAGTCTGCCACCGCCAGTGCACGCTACTAACACCAATGCTCCCTGCTACCAATAGTGATCCCTGCCACCACCAGTGCTCCCTGCCAATGCTAGTGCTCCCTGCTACCACCAATGCTCCCTGCCACCAATAGTGATCCCTGCCACAACCTGTACTCCCTGCCACAACCAAGGCAAGACTAGACTCTTAGAGCTGCTTTCCGACTACAGAAACATTGTACCTTTACCAGGGAACAGTTGGGGCACACAGATCTAACTTCACATCACATATCTTTAAAAGAGGGCACGAATCCAATTTACATACCAGCTTACCGACTACTACATAGCCAGGGCGCTGTAGTTCAGGAAATGATTCAGGTTATGTTGAATGAGAAGGTTGTCACATTCTAAATCTCCTTTCAATAGCCCTTTGCTTTTAGTTCCAAAGATGGATGGCGGTTGGCTCCTAGTTATTCATTTTGTTGCATCAATGAAAGCGACATAACATATTCCATCGATCCAAGAAGACGTCTGAGGGTATATTTACACAAATAGTCGTACTTGATACGTTGTATGAAACGATTATAACATTGTTCTACGATGTTCCTCAAGCAGGTCACCAAGGATGTGACAAATGCCTTGCGGAAATTAGAATTTTTGGGGAGGAATACTATGAATAAAAACATAGAATTGCAAAATGCTAAGTTTTTTGTCATGTGCTCAACATCAGAGTACTACAAGGTCACCGGCTCCAATTCTACAATATCCTACACCAGAACGTCCGTTTGACACAGTCGCGATAGACTTGCTACAACTTCCAAGGAGTCATTAGGGATCATCGTACGTGCTAGTGTGTGTGTGGATCATTTTTTCTAGATTTGTGGTTTTAGTCCCTCTGAAGGATAAAACAGCCGAATCTGTGGCCTATGCTTAGTGATGCATCTGATATGTCCTTTTACTACGCCCAAGGTTCTTCTCTCCGACAATGGATTAGAGTTTAAGAATCAGAGAATAGTACAAATTTGTGTACAATATGGGATACAACAAAGCTTTATTACAGCCTACCATCCACAGGCTAATGGCCTTGTCGAGAGAACCAATCGCAACATCTTAGAGATACTTCGCCCGATAGTGTGTGACAAGCAACACGCGTGGGAGGATTGGTTACCGCAAGTTGCCGCATCTATTAATGGGTCAATTAATAGCTTTACCGGCAAATCACCCTACTATATTGTTTATGGCATAGACAAACGTCTGCCTTATGACGTACTTACGGACAAGCCAGGCCCTGTCTATAATAAGGAAGATTTCGCAACAAAACAGATCAGCGTTTTCACCGATATTCATGGCCAAGTATGGAAGCATTTAGCAGCGACACGCACTGAAAGATTTTTAAGCAAAATAAACAAGCTAAGCCTGTATGCTAGAAATAGGCGATGCTGTTATGGTTAGAGAGCCTGAAAGAAACTCTAAGCTTTCAGCCAAATTTTCTGGTCCATTCCGCATTATCGCCAAAGAAGCGGGCAACAAATTTAAAATTTGGAAGCCTAATGCACAAACCGCAGATGTAGTGCACGCGGACCGACTTAAAAAGGGCCATCCAGATTTATTACCCACTAATAGTAATGATGCCATAGACACATCTTGTCAAACAGTACACACACACACCAAGTGTACCTAATGATTATCGTTTGAAACTTCGTTCTGCAAACAAATATTAAAATACATTGAAACTTTTACAGAATGGCTTGGATCATCATTGTACTGCTCCTACTGCTTTGTGGCACCTCTGTGTTGATGGATACGTCCACG